AGTCCTTTAGTAAATCCATCAGCGACTTGATCACTTGTTGAACAATACTCCAAAGCAATTAATCCATCTGCAACAGCACCTCGGATAAAGTGATGACGCAGCTCAATATGTTTTGTTCTTCCATGAAACACTGGATTCTTGGTTATTAAAATTGTTGCTTTGTTGTCACAGAAGATCTTTGTTGCCTTCTCTTGAACTTGTTGCAAATCTTTCATAATCCTTTGCATCCAAATTGCTTGACAAGCAGCTGATGTAGCAGCAACATATTCTGCTCCAGAGGAAGATAATGCAGTGCATTCTTGCTTTTTTGAACTCCAAGATACAGCACCCGAGCCAAGATTAAATATATATCCGCTTGTGTTTTTTCTGTCATCTACAGAACTTGCCCAATCACTATCAGTAAAACCAAGCAATTTAAAGTTAGGCACTGGCTTGTACCAAATTCCAAAGTTGCTTGTTGCTCGGATGTAACAGAGAATTCGTTTTGCTGTTCCAAGATGATGCACAGAGGGATTATGCATGAACCTTGAAACCAAGCTAATTGAGAACATGATATCATGTCTAGTGTGAGTCAAATACATTAATCCGCCAACCATACTTCTAAAATACTTCTCATTAGCTCTTGGAGTTCCATCATCTACTGTCAACTTCTCATTTGTATTCATAGGAGTAGCAGACATCTTGCAATTCTGCATGTTGAATTTTTTCAGCAAATCCAATGCGTACTTCTCTTGTGAAACAAAAATACCATAATCAATTTGGTAAATTTGTAACCTAAGAAAATAATGCAGCAATCCCAAATCAGACATGTCAAATTCAGCAGACATATTCTTCTTAAATTCTTCAATAAGAATGTTAGAAGAACCAGTGTAAATAATATCATCCACATAAACACAAATAATGAGAATATCACCTCCTTTCACCTTCACATACAAAGTGGGCTCATTTTCATTGCGATGAAAATCATTATCATGCAAGTATGAATCAAGTCTACCATACTAGGCTCGCGGGGCTTGCTTGAGTTCGTAAAGAGCTTTCTTGAGCTTGTACACCTTTTCTTCTTTGCCTTGAACAATGAATCCTTCAGGCTGCTCAACATAGACATCTTATTCCAACCAACCATTCAAGAAAGTAGATTTAACATCAAACTGAAAAATCTTCCATTTCATTTGAGATGTTAATGCTATCACCAATCTAACAGTCTCAAATCTAGCAACAGGAGAAAAAGTTTCAAGGAAATCAATACCATGTTTCTGCACATAGCCTTTGGCCACAAGTCTTGCCTTGTATTTTTGCACACTCCCATCTGCTTTATACTTCACTCGATAGACCCACTTCACACCAATTGGAGTCCTCCCTTCTGGTTTATCTACAAGCTCCCAAGTGTTGTTCTTCTCAATCGAATCTATCTCCTCCTTCATGGAATTTTCCCATTCCTATTTTCCATATGCCTCACCATAGCAAGTAGGTTCTGCCACCAGAAGTGCATAAGTATCTAGGTCATAAACTTGCTCCCAAGGTTTTTCCTTCCTAAGAATGGCACCAGACATGCTTCTAGTGAACATCCTTCGAGGTTGAGGAGTTGGAGTAGATTGTGGTGACATTGTTGGAGAACTTAGTGTAGGAGAAGATTGTTGGCCAACTTCCGTCTCCTCTGCTTGTGGCTCACTGGATTCACTTTCTTCATATGACAAGTGCTGAATCTTTCCTTCATTCCACTCCCATGCATTGTTCTCATCAAAAACAACATCTCTACGAATAATCAGCTTCTTAGTAATAGGATTATACAAACGATAACCCTTGGACTCATAACTATATCCAACAAAAATACACTTCTCACTTTTCTAGTCCATCTTTGTATGATCATTAGAAGCTATCATGGCATAAGAAATGCAACCAAAAACTCTCAAAGTACTTACATTGGGCTTCCGTTTTCACCATGCTTCATATGCAGTCATATTTCGCACTGCCTTTGTTGGAGAAATGTTGAGAATATGAACAGCAGTAGCAACTGCTTCAGCCCAGAAGGTTTGTGGAAGTTTCTTCTCATTCAACATGCTTCTTGCCATCTCCACAACTGTCCTGTTTTTCCTTTAAGCAACCCCGTTCTGCTCTGGAGTTCTTCTTACAGTAAGTTGCCTCTTGATCCCATTCTGCTTGCAAAAACTACCGAACTCATTAGATAAAAATTCTCCTCCCCTATCGGTTCGAAGAATTTTTATTTGATGGCCACATTCTTTCTCTGCAAAGGCTTTGAATTCCTGAAATTTTTCAAGAGCTTCTGCCTTCTGAATAAGAAAAAATACCCAGCTCATACGAGAAAAATCGTTAGTGAACAATAAAAAATATTTTCTCTTGTTCAAAGACAAATTTCTCATTGGCCCACAAATGTCAGCATGTACCAACTCCAAAGGCTCCTTTGCTCTCCATGCTGTCCCAACTGGAAATGCATTTCTGTGCTGCTTCCCATAAACACAACCTTCACAAACACCATCAATAGGAATAATAGAGGGCAAACCATAAACCATCTTTTTCTGACTCAACAATTTCAACCCATTAAAATGCAAATGCCCATATCTCATATGCCATAACTTGGAGTCATCTTTAACATTTGCAACAAGTGCAAGGTCATTCAAAAATGAGATCTCAAGTGGAAACATTTTATTTTTAGCCATGGGAATCTTAGCAAGAGACATATTAGATTTACTGCACTTGATTTCACACAAGCCATCATGAAATTCAACCACATACCCATTCTCTACCAACTGACCCACACTAAGCAAATTATGTGCCAAGTTAGGTATGTAATAAACATCATGAATCAACTTTTCGATACCTGACTTGGTTCTAATTGCAATTATTCCCTTGCCTTCAATTTGCACTTGCTTATTGTCTCCAAGCCGAACTTTCAGCTTCACTGTCTCATCGATAGTTCGGAAAAGGCTTCTAACACCTATCATATGATTACTACATCCATTATCAAGAAACCACAAGTCAGAATTGCTGACATTTGGAATTAAACAGGTGAGGAACAAGTTCTCTTCAACTTCTTTTTCTTCAACAAAGTTTGCTTATTGCTTTGCCTTCTCCCAACAGTTTGCCTCGATGTGCCCATGTTTCTTGCAAAAATGGCACTGCTTCCACTTATAATTCTGCTTCTGGTTGCCTCTTTTTCCATTCTCGTACTTCTGACGAGTTGAGCTTGATCCCCCCTGGCCTCGTCCACAGCCACGGTAGCTTCCTCTACCTCTTCCTCTACTAGTAGAGCCTCTGTGATCATTTTTCTCCTGGCTAGAGACCTCTACCTTTGTTTGAAAGGCTTGCTCCATGTTCTTCTCTGCAAACCTGTTCATTCTCTCTTCATTTGCTAAAAGTGAGCCCATCAATTGATTAAGAGAATAAACAGAGAAATCCTTTGTCTCTTCAATAGCAGCTACACCATGATCGAACTTAGATGGTAGACACCTCAAAACCTTCTCAACAACTTTACGATCATCAACTTGATCACCATAAGTTTTCAATTGATTAATAATGACAGAAACTCTACTAATGAAATCTTGAACTGACTCACTTCCTTTCATGCATAAGTTTTCAAATTCTTTACGCAGAGTTTGAAGTTTCACAATTGTTACCTTGTCATCTCCATAAAACTCCTGATTCAGAATGGTCCAAGCTTCCTTTGACTTTGTGGCATTTGCAATCCGAGGAAAGATTGAGTCAGTTACCACTTGCTGCAATACAAGCAATGCCTTTGCATCCTTCTTCCGAAGATCTTTCACCTCTGCTGCTAGTGACTTCTCGGTTTCAGCAAACCCATTCTCCACAAGGTCCCACAAATCTTGTGAGACAAAAAAGGTCTTCATTTTAATACTCCAAAAAACATAGTTTTCTCCATTGAATATGGGTACCAAGGATTGGGACAAATTCAATGAATTTGAATTGCTGGCCATGATGAAAATAGCTACAACTTTTGAGATCCCTTTGCTTCAGCAATGGTCTCAACTTCACAAAAACACCAATCGAACCTGGCTCTGATACCACAATTTGTTGGAGAAGAACAGAAAAATGGAAATTGATAACAAAGTGATTGAGAAGTAAAAAGATAACTTTCTGAATACTTGAATTCATTGAAAAAACATACAAATATATACTGGAACTCTAAGAAGTGGGATTGTAACATGATACCCACGTACTGTACTCTAACTGAAATTATGGGCAAAACTAACTCAACAAATTATCCTAAAAAATAGCAACTACCCCACTCTCTGAAGAAAAATCAGGAAGACTTATTCAAACTAAATAACAAACTAAAAAACAAATTAGATAAAGACAATAACCACTTTTGCATCAGTTTTCAACAGCCTGTAAATCTAGTCACTTCTTCCCGGGAAAGATACAATTTCAAGGTCTATACTTTGTGTTATGATGGCATGTAAAGTGACGTGCTTAGTTTTTCTTCTTTTTTCTTTTGCGTATGAAGAAGCACGACCCCTTGGAAAAATAGAAAGCATGATTCTTCTTTCCTCGCTGAGAAGCAAATTATCAAAATGATGATGCACGAAATACGTAGTGTCTTACGAATTGTAGCAGAGTCAGAAATGGATTCCCCATTTTGAAACTTGGAGATGGTTTTACCCATGGTATGTATTATTCGGTAGTGATAAATGTATGAACCTGAAAGTTAGGTGTTGTTTTGGCAATGGTTTTTTCTTTATGTGGGTAAGAATTTGATGGTTTGGAAATGAGCAGACGGTATGCTCCATAGACGGTAGTTTGAGACCCGTATTCAAAATTGACTAAATGGTAAGGTTGTGAGACCCCTTGAAAAATTTAAGATTTAGGTCCTCTCTCTCTACCCCTTGTTTACCAGCAAATTTCCAACAGACTACAGTCACTTACCTTGTAATGGGTAGGAAGTGTACATGAGGGTGTTTAACAAAATTTAAAAAATAACTTGTTTAAAAGAAAATTTTTTTCTCATAAATTTAAAATTTTGCATTTTTTTTTTATATTGAACTATGTATGTTATTTTTTATAGTTGAATGTAAGTTGTTTTTTGTTTGAGTTATTTATATATATAATTTGCAAAATGTAAAAATGATATATAGAAAGAGATTCATCTGCAATTTGCTCCTTTTCCTAATCTCATTATTTTTATACCATTGTAAGCTCAATCTAGTGATTGGTATGCTTTGCGAGTTAGTGGTCAGAGATTCAATTTCTCTCCTCTCTCAAGCCTCTAAAATACACCAAAATGTTTTTTGGAATATGATTAATTGTGGATGCAGGGGAACAACGAAATGAAAATATATCTGGTTGTTGACACAATTCACCGCACATCAATAAGAAGAAATCTTATTTGCTTCTAAGTAAAGCAAACAAACTATAATGAACAACTGTTATTGTAAGATCAATTAGAAAAAATTGATTCAAATCAATATAAAACTCAAGACATAATCTTAAGAAACATGCAAAACAACATAAACTGAGCTAGAGATGGTGCTTAGATTTTTTCCATTGATTTTCCATTCATTTTTCATCAACTTTAGTATGCTTTAATTTTGTACAAAATAACACTAGCCACATACAATATTTACCTAATACATTTGAATAATAATATAAATCCAATAAAGCAAAGAGCATAGTACACATATACAATTAAAGATACATAAAGATTACATTAAAGAATTAAAAAAAAATCTTCTCAACAACATAATTAAAACTGAACTGAACATAAACAGTGCATATAAACAGTAACCTTGCTTCACTGTTCCATTTATCTTCAACGGTTATCTTTAATCTTGAACCTCTTTCTTCAGATATTCAACAAATTTACCAAAGTAACTAGCATGAAGCTTTTGGTCCCCAAAAATCCTTCCTGCTTCTTGAGCTTTGATCCTCAGACTCTCTCCTTCCTCGGACACCATGGCAAGTCTTAATGCTTTGGCTATACCTTCCCTAGTAAAAGATCCATCTTCATTCCTCTCTACTTCCACAGCCAAGCCCTTGTCCACCAAGACCCTAGCATTCAAGGGTTGATCAATGATAAATGGTAGTAAAATCAGAGAGTGCCCAAACTGTAGAATTTCTATGACAGATCCCCATCCAGAGTGAAACAGAGAGCCACCAATTGGTGTGTGACCCAAGATCTCGGACTGTGGCGCCCACCCGAACTGCACCACTCCTCTGTCATGTGTACGATCAGAAAAGCCTGGAGGCAGAGCATCATGATCACCATCAGCCCAAGCTGGCTTCCTAAGTGCCCACAGAAATGGCAACTCTGATAGCTCCAACCCATATGCTATTTCATGAACTTGTTCTTTGTTCAGCTTGCACTCACTTCCAAACCCCACGAACACCACTGACTTGGGCTTTTGCTTGTCGAGCCAGTCAAAGATTTCAATCCATTCCTTCTCCTCGCTTGATCTTCTTCTTTCTAGTTTCTCTGGTGGAAGTAGGCCTATAGGAAGTACCGGCTTCTTCATAATGTTCTCTAGTAGATTTAAGTACTCACCTTCATACTCAGGACAACTACGTATTGCCACAACTTGACATGAACTGAAAGATTTAGCAACCCTCTCTGCGTCTGATATCCCAGAAGCATTTCCACCAAAGAAGGCATGATAAAAACCGGTAGTCTCAAAACTCCGGTAAGCTAATGAAGAAGGAAAGGTCACCCACTCAGGAGGAGAAGTAAAACTTTTAGGAGAAGGCCTGATTCTTTTCCAATCATCCCCAGCCAAGTCTTCTGGAGGCCCGAGGAAAGCATAGGTAGAAGCAGAGAAAACTGAGAAATAGATGGAAGGGATATAGTGCTCTTCTACTATTTCAGCTGCCCAAAAAGGGATGGCATCAAAGATTATCCAGTCTGGTCGTTGCTCAGAGAGGAACTGCTTGAAGGGGTCTCGGAGGAGATCGTACTGAAGCTTCAGATACTGGATTTTCTCAAAGGGGATGTCCACAGTGGCCTCCGCCCCTTTGGGTAAGAGCTTGTTTTCTAAAGGTGGCAACGGAAAATCAACAAAATGTATCAGAGATGATAATTTTTGAGGAATTTTGGGGAGCCTTTGGATGTTTCTTGGGGTTGATACGAAGGAGACTTTGATTCCAGCCTTGGCCAAGGCAAAGGAAAGTTGTAGGAAGGGAAGCATGTGTCCGAAGGCCGACCATGGAAGCACCACCACATGTGCTTCTTTATTCATTCTTCGATCTTCTTGTTGCGAAAAACGGGGTGTAATCTCACCACAGCCGATACAAATGCAACACCAAAATACTTTCCAATCTATTTAGAACTGTTAAGAGTAAGTTAAAACAAGTCAAAATAAAATTATTTCGACAGTTAAAATATGTAAAACGGTAAAAATAACTAAGGCAAACCGATCACCAGAAAAGGTAATATTCTTTTGGGAAAAATCCTAAAAATGGATAAAAATCACGAGCCGTACAATCCACTAAAAATAGTTCCACCATAGTAAAAGAGAAATTCACTGAAAATAATTCTGCTGTGGTAAAAGAGAATGCATAATTTTTACCCAAAAAAAGAAAGAGAATGCATAATATCTTCTTTAAAAAAAATACAAACACAACTTCAAATAAAAGGAATAACTGACCATAAACTAGCAAAAAAAATGAAACTATAAGAAAAATATATCGCTAAAAATAAACTGTTATTCTTAACATAAAATCAAAATCTACAAAATTTCAAATAAAAAATCAACTATTTAAAATGTAAATCAACTTTAATAAAATTTTAATTCAATTCAACAATAAAATTTTACGTATCAAATGATAAAATTACGTACAGTGTCAAAATTACAAAAAAAATTTCTATTTTCTTTTTCTACCGGCTGGCTCCACCCACGTGCTCCGCCGTTCAGCTGTCAAATCAAACTTTTGTCTTTGTCTTAAAGTGCTGCCAATGTCAAAATTACAAAAAATTTTCCAATTTTCTTTTTCTACCGGCTAGTTTGACCCACGTGCTCCCTCTTTCACCTGTCAAATCAAACTTCTTTCTTTGTCTTACAGTACCGTAAAGTGTGGCTTCGAGAAGACTTAATAGGTGTTGGCTTAGTTTAACAAATATTGATCGTTTCTCCGCATTTGAGGTATGGGGGCTAACCCAACACTTATCCGAATTAGTAATCCAAAATCTAGCTGGCTACGATTCGTCCTTGGGACTTGGGAGCTAGAAATTATGTTTTGAAGTCCTTGATTTATAATGTGATTTAGTGGATTTAATTTTTTTAATTATTTTTTGTGCTCACCAAAAACATTATGTTTTATTTGCCACAAGTCTTGCTTCATTTTTTTTTTATGGTATAAATCTTGTTTGATTTTTTTTTTTGTTTGTAAAAGAGAGGACTGCATTAAAAAACAACAAAAAAAAAATTAAGGGCTGGAAAACAGGTTTCCATCATATCAGTCTCATAATACAAAAGAAGTTCACGAATTCTATCAAGCAGTTCAATAATTACACGTTTCATTTAAGGTTGGTGAATTTTCATTCAATCTAAAAATTGAATCCTCAATTATTAATATTTAATAATATTAACCTACTAGTTCACGAGAACAACAATAAAAAAAAAAACAAAATCCACAGGTTGTCAACGGGTCTAGCAATCAGAGCATCAGCACACTAATTAGCTTCCTTGTACACATGTTGGATGCTAGTCCAAGGGATTCTAGACATACTCTCGCTGCAATCCAAAATAAAGGAGTAAAGAGGATGATGTGATGAAATCCAACAGGAAAGTAACTGTGCAGCAACCGTAGGATCAATTTCAACAATTAAGTTTTGGATGTTCCCCTGATAAGCTAGAAGAAGGCCCTCTCTAATGCCCCAGAGTTCAGCACGCAGGCTTGAAGTATAACCAATCTTGCAGGCAAAAGCAGCGATCCATCTGCCTAAATGGTCTCTAATGACTCCACCGGTAGAGGCAGGGCCTGGGTTTCCACGAGCAGACCCATCTGTTTGATTTGCTATAAGTTAAAATAATGATGGAAATCCATGCAATGGTTTAGTTTTCTTTTCTTAAAATAATTATTATTTTTATTTTAAATTAATAATTGATATTTGTTTTTAAAAATAAATAAACATTTTTTTACTTTAATCTTATCAATATTCATTCATTTGACTTAATTATTTAATTATAAAAAATATATCTTCATTTTAAAAATATTACATATTTTTTAAAAAATATTATAAACAAATATAAATATTTTCTTCAAATTTTTAATTAAATCCCCCTTAAAATTCAGAGATTGTCGTTTGAATTATGCACTGTAATAATTTTGATAAAAGTTTTTTATGTTAATTGTATGAAACTTGCATTTTGGTGTTTTTTTTTTCATTTTTCAATACAGTTTTTTTATATGGATGAAGAGGTTTTTCAAAGAGACTTAAAAAAATGAAAAAAAAAAAAAAAAAGAGACTGCAAATAGTACAACAAACAACGGGAAGGGAAAGTCAACTTAATTTTAAAGAATTGTTTCATATAATAATTTAACATTAATAGTTGGTGGGTATTTAATTTAATAAATAATAATATTTAAATTAATAATTATTATTATTATCAACTATTAAATTAAATAAAACTATTAATCACTAGTTTTAAATTACTTTATAAAACAGCCCTAAATTGAAGACTCATCCCACACCATTCAATTTACTTAGACTTGGGTACCTGATTTATGCTAAGTCTGCCTTGGAAACCTTCTTATACCATTCTCATCAAGAATTTCATTGATATATATGGCAATTGCCAATGGAACAAGCAAAATATTGGTACAGGATTGAACCATGTTTGCTAGTGCAAAGATCTCAAAAGATATCTCCTTTTCCAACTGATTTTCTCAAGAAAAGGAAAATACCTTGCAACCCCACGTTTCAAGGAATGAAACCAATTTGTTTAAAGCTTACACCTGAATTTCGTGGCACTGATATAATCGTAAAATTGATGCTCAAAAGAAACCTCTCATTCAACTGTTGAAAGAACAAGGACCAAGGCCTTATGTATAGCGGCAAAACTTGAACGAGCCAAGGTTAGGTACTTGTCATATCCTGAACATCATAAAGTTAGACTACGATTCGAAAATTGCCCTATATTGGGTAAGGGTTCTATCCAAAACTTTAAAAAAAAAAAAAAAAAAAGAGGAAGAAAAAAGAGTGAGATAGGAGAAAATTACGATATCTTGAGCCTAAAAAATTAGAGAAAAGGGCTGAAACGAAAGATAATTTAATTTCCCTACCTTAGGCCTCAAAAAATTAGAAAGAGTTTTAGAGCACGAGTTAAAAATACAATCAATATTCAATATAAATTTTTTACATTAATTATTATAAAAAAAATAAAAAAGTTATAATTAATTTCACCATTAATGCTATATGAATTCCTTGTCATATAAATTAATTTAATTGAATGATTGATTAAATAAAGATTAACTTTATTTTTTCAATATTAAGACGGATTAATTGCACCCTTAGCTTTATCTATTAGAAAATAAAAATTCTTATTCCCTAAATGGAGGTCCCCTACACCGTATCCACTCTGCTCATATACCAGTGAGAAATGAATTCACAGTACTACTTCGTGTAATAGTGGACGTTATTATTTGAAACAGAATTCCACAATGCATGAAAAAATAACTACATGGGAAAAGAAAAATATAAACAAGGAAAACAAATTTAAAATTTTCATTAGACATGCTTTACCATTACCAACAACTCTGTTTACGCAGTGAAAGCTCTACCTACAACATGAAGAGCAATTGTCAGCACGTTAGTCATTCCTTTCAAAGATCTATTCCAGCCTTTTTAGCGACAGCATCAAGTCCATTCTTCTCTATGGTCTTCAATGCCTTTGTCGACAAACGCAATTTGACATAGCGCTTACCAGCTTCCCACCATATCTTCTTGTGTTGTAGGTTGACAAACTGCAATTTCTTTGTCTTGTGATTTGAGAAGGAAACTTTATTGGCCTTGTTTGATTTCTTTCCAGTAAAAGGGCATACTCTTCCTGAAAAGTTTGATCAAAGTTATGATTTAGCAATGAGACATATACCAATTATTGATCACCTAAGTGGCTCTGAGCTAGAAAAGTCAAAAATGGTAATGAATGCACCAAATAAATCTAATTGTTTTACAGATTATCTGATGACCAATGTAAGAAGACTACATTAAAAGCCATGCCACATCCATATCAAGACATTATATAATTCAGACAGTCAACTTGTTTTCATTTCCTCCATCCACATATATAAATGCACATCATAAGACATTAAAAAGGATACAAGGCTGCATCCATAGTTCAGTTACAA